GAAGGGTGTTAGGTGGCTGGATGAAAAAGATGAGGGAATTAAAAAATACGAATTGGTAATTTCACAATAGTCACGGGGATGTACAGCTTAGGGAATATAGTCAATAACCTTGTAATAACTATATATGGCGCCAAGTGGGTACTAGACTTATCAGGGGTGATCACCTCATAGGTTATATTAATGCCTAACACTATGCTATACATCTGAAACTAATTCAATATTGAACGTCAACTGTAATTGAAAAAATTTTTAAATTAAAAAAAAAGAAAAAAACAGACCCTTGTAGCTACTGAACGCAAATCTGCAACTTCCCAGGAGCCTCAGGTGATTGGTACAAACAGTCAAGGTGTGAAGCCCTGGTCTCCACGCCTGTTCCCTCCATGGCCAGATGAGGGTGGTTCTCCCGACCTGAACACCTAGTAGGTGTGATGCTGAAGAGCAGTTGAGCTAATATCACACACATACACATGGTTTTAAACTGCAAAACTCTGCACAAATGCCAAGATCTAAAATGCCTTCCGATGTGAAAGACAGGGATGGTTGTGGAGATGGTATATAAAACGCTTCTTGGTTAATGGTGATCACTGTAATGGGATTGCTCTTTTCTGATCTTTCTCATGATGCCCTCGTGATATTTTCCAGATTATGACCTTTCAAAGATGAAGGACTTCATCAACCAACAAACGGAAGCTTATGTGGAGAAAGGCATCCTTGATAAAGAAGAGGCCGATGCTATCAGGCGTATTTACAGCAGCCTGTAAAAATGGCAAAGTGGTCCAGGAGTCTTTCCACTGTTTCAGAAGACATAATATAGCTTAAAACTCTCCTAATTCTGTGATTGAAGTTATTTTGACCCAAGGAGTGTTAGGAAGTGCTGGATTTATAGTAGATAACCTTTTAGAAGTGGTTAAGACATAGCTTTCTTGCCATAAAAACTATCTGAAAAGTAACAGTGTGAGCTGAGATTTTGTACATAGAATCCTTACTTCCTTGTAGACTTACATTTTATAATCAGAGATGGGTTGCTTTGGAAAAGCCTGTAATGGTCTGACCTTAGAACTGAACCTTTTTCCTACTGAGTCACACATATAAGCACCCCCTGAGGAAGTGGGGGTTCTGTTTTCAAGGCATGCTGGTTACCAAAGCACCTCATAGCATATCTGCTACATATCCTCACTCCCAGTTCCCTTTGGTTGAAATAAACTTACGTTTCTTCAAAGCCTCTCTAGTGTAAAAGAAGCTACCCGCTTTTTTTCCTTTGTTTTCTTTTTCTTAATAGATAACTTTCTCTTATTTTAAATATATTTTTATTGATTTGAAAGAGGGAGGGAGGAAAAGGGAAAGATAGAAACATCAACATCGATGGATCAATCAGCTGCCTCCTTCATGCCCTCTACTGGGGATCAAGCCCAAAACCAAGGCATGTGCCCTGACCAGGAATCAAACTGGTGACCTCCTGGTGCATTGGTCAACACTCAACTTCTGAGCTCACTAGCCAGGCTGCCTCTTTTATTTTCTTCGGCTCTTCCTGCTAGTTCTGTATCAGGCTGAATAGCACAAAGGAACCTGAAAAATGGGCATAGGATTTTCTGGATTCATTAAGAATTTCCCCCCACTCTTAATATTTTCTATTAGTGAGTTTTAAGACATTGGTTTTGCTTATTATGAAGAATAACTATAGCTATAACTGGCTTGGCTCAGTGGGTAGAGCATTGGACTGCAGACTGAAAGGTCCCGAGTTCAATTCCAGTCAAGGGCTCAATCCTTAGTAGGGGGTGTGCAGGAGGCAGCCAATTAATGATTCTCATCATTGATATTTCTATCTCTCCCATTCCCTTCCTCTCTGCAATCAATAAAAAAAAAACTTTTTAAAAAGAGAGATAACTATGTACTCTCGAGGCAGAAAATGAGGTCATAAACACTACATAAAGTGAGGTAAAAATGTATGCCAGCTCTGAGTTTTCTAAACTGGACTCAGCAGAGAGCAAGAGGGCCAGATGGTGGGGTAGAAATAGAGATAAAAATCATTCCCTTCCTTCCCTGTGAAGCAAAGCTGGTGAGCTGAGGTTTCATGGAGGAGAACGATTCCGAATCTCTGGTCCCTGCAAATCCTCTTCCTCAGCCACCACCACAACTTGCCCAGGGTCCACCTGAAATGTTAGTGGGGAATGTTCCCAAACCAAAGGCTGCTTTGGAAATGGGTTATGCAGTATAAATTACATATTTTTCTGTATATTTCAGTTGAAAAATCATAAAATCACATAATGCTTTGTGTACTAGCTATCACTACTTTAAAAGGCCGTCTGATACCGGTCTTAAATGCCCCTACTTGGCATCTACTTTTTGATGAGGACTGGGAACTCACAGGGAAAATGGAAGAGGCTGTTTTCAGGGTAGGAGTCCCCTACTGCTCCTCCCATCCTCTCTAGTGTTGCAAAAATAAACAAAACCAACGCCTGGTATGCCAAAAAAAAAAACCCTAAACTCTTAATCTATTGTAGAGAAGCCAATACTCATTGGTAAGTGGCGAGAGGAAACTAAAAACACTTTTGCCCAAACTACACTTGCCAAAGCATGATGAATCAGACTTGTCTTAATGTCCTCCTTGATAGCATGACTGACTCTACTTCACCCATGTCCTGTAGTCCAAATGGGCTGCCTCTACATCAGAGAGAAAAAACTTGCTGTGATGAAAGCATTTTACCTATTTGCTTTTCTATAATTTTAATCAGTCTGGCAGGGGAGTGGTTAGGGGGTGATCAGGCTGGCAGGCAGAAGTGGTTAGGGACAATCAGGAAGGCAGGCAAGCAAGCAGTTGGGAGCCAGCAGTCCAGATTGGAGAGGGTGCAGGCTTGGCTGAGGGACACCCCCTCCTGCCACCCCTGTGCATGAATTTTGTGCACCAGGCTTCTAGTTTTTAAAAATAAGAAATTCGTGAGTTTATTGTAACTTTCTGAGCCCACAGACATTCATTAGCTCCTATTGATACCCAAGACAAAAGGGAGATCATCAGTCCTGTTTTATATGTAAGAAAATTGTTTTGCAAAACATAAACATGGGCACAAGATATGCTCAAACTCATATGGCCAAGATGTGGTAAAGCTGAACCTAGAATCCAGGGTCTTATCTCAGTCCATTCTTCCACAGTGATTCTACGTGCAGGTAAGTCGAATCAATGCCAGTCCAGGCCAGCAGGGCTGAGGGAACTCTGGAGAAGCCACACACAACAGCAGCAGGGACCCACCCCCGGTGGGGCTGAGGGAACTTCAGTGGCAGGCTCGTGAATCAGCTGGCCTGGCCCTGCTGTACGTGCCATCTTGTGAAGGTGTTACAGCTTGAGAGTTAATTTGCATTTTATCTCTTTATTATATAGGATAATAACCAGAGGGAAAACACACACACACACACACACACACACACACACACACACACACACACACGATGTTATCATTTAAAAAATGAAATTTAAAAAAACAAAATATACCTGGCAGGTGTGGCTCAGTTGGTTGAGCATCATCCCAAACACCAACAGTTCAACTCCCAGTCAGGGCATATGCCCAGGCTGCAGGCTCAGACCCCATGTGTATGTCGGGGGGTGGAGGGGGTGGCATGCAGGAGGCAGCTGATCAATGTTTCTCTCTTGTGAATGTTTCTATCTCTCCCTTCTCTCAAAAAAAAAATTTTTTTTTAATATATATATATAATAAACACACAAGGGATAATGTACATTGTGAACAAACAAGAAATTCAAGACAAGGACAAATAGCTACTGCTTCCCATTCGTGCCTTAAGGGTTGGACACGTGCAACTCCAGTTCAGTGAACTCTGAAGCATTGGCACCTAAGGGCACAGTTTCGTGCTTAATGGAAGGAAGATCTAGAGGATCAAGATGGAGAATAAAGGAAAAAGAAAGAGAAAAAGAAAAGAAATAAAGGTCTTTTTTGTCCCTCAAAAAGCAGACCCCTTTTGGGATGTTGGGAAGGAATAAATATGAGGAATTTTGTGAAAGTTTAAAGATTTATTTAGCCCAGCATTTGAATAGAAATTGAGACAAAAACATTTAACTGTAAAGAATGTATTGCTTAAAGTTTCCTGCTGTAATCTATACATATAATAAAAGTAAGACAATTGAAATTATGTGAATAAAAACAGAACCCTCATTCAAATGAGCACAGTGACTACAAAACACGATAAAGTCACTAATCAATGAAATCTAAACTAAAAGTCATCAATGTGTCATCTCATGGTATTGCTTTTTTCTTCTATTGATCATATTCCATGTTCTCACTATATGTGAAACATATCAAGTCAAATATTATGAGAGCAAAGGTTACTAGTAACTGCAATTGATTTGCATTTAGATTTTAGATTCAAAATTGCAATTAAAATAATAAAAAAACCATAAAAGTAGAGGAAAAGCTGTCACTATTTCAAATATATAACTTAAAAATTTTCTCATTTGTTAAAAAAATTAGAGACTCAAATGTAAAAACATAGTTTATTTTTTTCAGACCTTAGTAGCTCACTTTTACAAAATAGCAGACAAAATTTGGTTCTCTATATTAATACAGAATATGTAATACATATCCAAATATATATATATATAGCACTTAATTATAAACACATAGCAAAGCCCGCACCACTCAAACAGCAACCATGTTTTTTACATAATTAGGAATCCTCGAGAGATAAACATTGTTTTAGCTTGACTATGTAAGTAGTCTTTGAAGCTTTATGTCAACTAGTATTTACAAAAGCAAGTTTAAAAACTACCAGCACCTACAAAAGTGATGAGCTTTTGTTATCATGCCATAATGCAGACAGAAAATTATAGAAAGCCGGAGGGAACCAATCACTTCAGTGCAACTGCAGTGGAACTACTTAATTGTGACTTAAAGATGTACACTCTGAGAACCCAAGAGGGATGCATTTGAATCTTCAGTTGGTGGTTTCCTTATGATCCAACTCTTAATCCAGATGCAATTATAGCCCCTGTTCATCTAACTATGATAGAGTGAGGTTGCGTAGGGATTGTCTTCATCTCTGGAAAGAAAAAAAAGGAATATAGCATAAACTAGTGTTTAAAAAACTGTACTCAGAAAACTAACACATATATTTATCATACAATTTAATATCCACTTGACAAAGAAGTGCAGGTGTTATCAACTTACAATATTGTTCATGCATTAAAAGTTATATGAAATACAAATACTCATTGAGGTGTACCTTATTTATTCCCATCCTATTGGTGTCTAAATTACTAGAAAAAAGAATAGTTCTTGCTATATATTTACACTTATTTATATTATATTACATTTGCATAAAGTAATAAAACTTAAATTATAAATTATATTCTCATTTATATCTATTTATGTTTTTAATATTTCACCTCTTTCTCAAAAGGATTTGAGATGCCTATGACAAAGGAATACATATAATAAGATGAATAAAATATGAATAAAAAAATCAGGACTAGCTGAAACCGGTTTGGCTCAGTGGATAGAGCGTCGGCCTTCTGACTGAAAGATCCCGGGTTCGATTCCAGTCAAGGGCAAGTACCTTGGTTGTGGGCAAATCCCCAGTGGGGGTGTGTGCAAGAGGCAGATGATCGATGACTCTCTCTCATCGACGTTTCTAACTCTCTATCTCTCTTAATTCCTCTCTGTGTAAAATCAATAAAATATATTTTATAAAAAATAAAAAAATAAAAAAATAAAAAAAATCAGGACTAAAGAAAAGAGAAGGCTACAAATCTATTAACCATAAGAAATATTATATTGGTTGAACTGAGCATCAATTTTAGTTGCAACCTTTCTGGTAAGGGTAAAAGAGAAAAGGTTGCCCTTCTTGGAATTAGGAAGAAAGAAGGCAACTAATTCTATAGGAGAGAGAAAGGTTTGCCCTAGAACCAAATTAAAAAACAAAGAAGAAAACTCACATGAGCAATGTAAGAAACATCTGAAAGCAAACTATGGACAATAGCTTTGACAAATTTTATAAGGATCAGTATTTTATAAAGTATTCTCTAGGGTACTGCTTCCTTTGAAAATGTCAACTACATGTGTCCACTTGGCTGCTGCCCAGAATTCCTAGCTGGACAGTTATGCTACTAAGCAAAGAAGCAAATCTATACTAATAAAAGGTTAATATGCTAATTAGACCGGATCGACCGGCCATCTTCCAGACGTCTGACTTCCTTCTGGACAAAGCCATGGTGGTGGGGGCCAAGGCAGAGGCAGTTAGGGGCAACCAGGCTGGCAGGGGAGGGCTGTTGGAGGTGAGATCAGGCCTGCAGAGGAGGGTAGTTGAGAATAAGATCAGGCTGGCAGGGGAGGGCAGTTAGGGGGAATCAGGCAGGCAGAGGTTAGGGGCAATCAGGCAAGCAGTGGGGCAGGATAGGAGCGATCATGCCGCTCCCACAGGGGGAGCACTACTCAGCCAGAAGCCGGGCTCACAACTGGTCAGTGCAGCGGCGGCGGAGGGAGCCTCTCCGATCTCCCCAGCAGGGGAAGGAGTAGCAAGCAGGCGGGTGGTAAGGAGCGAGGGGTCCTGGACTTAAGGTCCCCCCCGGGGGACAACAGTCGGATAGCCTCTGAGGGTTCCCGGACTGCAAGAGGACGCAGGCCAGGCTGAGGGATCTTCCCCCCCCCCCCAAACCCTGCCCCATTTCATATCCCTCTAGCTTTTATAATAACTCACAGAGACAAAGCATTGCAACAGATCAAGCCTTATATAGAATACAATGACTGTTTAGATTTCATATAATAAAAATGCTTTTCTGGAATTAAAACATAGTGTTTTTTTAAAAAAACAAAAAAATGAAATTTTACCAAGTGTAAATATCTTAAGAATAATTCATTCAGTCTCTGACGTTTTACCAGTGTATTTTTACCTGCTCTCTTCTTTTAGTTTCCTGGCTGCCTGTGTTGATAACTTAATCTGCAAGTCGAGCCTCTGCAGGAAATCTCTGGCTGACACCTCCTCGGGCGGCACTGGCTGAGCCGAAGAGGCCAGGGGACTGGGAGGAGGCGGGTCTTCCACAGCCGCTACCAGCCCTTCTTCCTGAGAAAAGGGGCCATGGGCAGCCTCACTTTCCGGAGAATCAGCTGAGTTAAGTCCATTAAACACCAAAGGCTTCTCTGAAATAACTGGGATGTCCAAAGTTTTCTTCAGAAATATGCAATCATTGGTAAACAGTTTATTTGCCCTTTTAATCTGTTCCATCTAAAATATTTAAAAAAAAAAAAAATGAAACACAGTTACATATAAATGAACCCAGAAATATGGCTTATTATGCAACACAGAACTAAAGATACTCATAAAATAAGATTTAAAAAGTAAAATAGCACTAGCTGGTTTTGCTCAGTGGATAGAGCACCGGCCTGCAGCCTGAAGGGTCCTGGGATCGATTCTAGTCAAGGGCACATGCCTGGGTTGTGGGTTCAATCCCCAGTCGGCAGCATGCAGGAGGCAGCCAATCAATGATTCCCTCTCATCATTGATATTTCTATCTCTCTCTCCCTTCTCCTTTCCTCTCTGAAATTAATAAAAATATGGTTTAAAAAAAAAAAGTAAAACAAAAGTATCCATGAACAAAATGTGTGCAATGCTTTATCTGGGTTTGAGACTCTTAATTCTGACTTTGCCACCTACCCAGATACCCCCAGTTATTTCAAGACATATCAGGAAATTCTTTCTCCCAATTTTAAAGATGGAAAGACTAATTTCCCCCCACTATATAAATTGCCCTACAAGAAAGCTTTTACCAAGCAGTTTTAAAACCCAGAAGTTAAAAAATACAGAATTTTCAGCACTTATTTAATAAATTCCATTCTTATTTTAACATTTCAATTATCTGATTTTTTTTTTTTATTATCTACTAGAGGCCTGGTGCACGACATTTGTGCACTGGGGCAATGGGTCCCTCAGCCCTGTCTATGCCCTCTTGCAGTCTGGGACCCCTCAGGGGATATCTGACTGCTGGTTTAGGCCCGCTCCCCAAGTGATCCTTAGCCCTGCCATGGAGACAGGAGAGGCTCCTGCCACTGCCACTACACTCACCACCTGTAAGCCTGGCTTCTGGCTGAGCAGTGCTGTCCCTGTGGGAGTGCACTGACCAGCAGGGGGCAGCTCCTGCATTGAGCATCTGCCCCTGGTGGTCAGGGCGCATCACAGAGACTGGTGGTTCTGCCGTTTGGTTGATTTGCATATTAGGGTTTATTTTGTTTGTTTGTTTTATAAAGAATTTTAGTGAGTTTATTTGAGCCAAACTGTTGATAACTTAATCTGCAAGTCGAGCCTCTGCAAGAAATCTCTGGCTGACACCTCCTCAGGCAGCACTGGCTGCACCGGAGAGGCATATGCTAGGAAGCAGAACCTCAACGAATTGAGATAATGCCTCAAAGAATGGGCAGTTCATATCTTGTTTTTATAAATTACCATCAAAAGAAAAATACATAAGTGGGTTACATGAAATTCATTGATGATAGATTAAGGAAGTGGGATAAAACAAAGCTGGAAAACCTCTGGGATAGGATAAAAAGTGAAATGATGGACATATGCTTCTTTTACATAGATGGATACAGGATATTTTATCATAGTTAAGAGCTGATAATTAATTTGCTAACAATAACAATGAGGAAATATCCTGGTGCCATTTGTTGTGCCCTGAGGGGTCCGGCAGAAAAAAAATGAAGTTACAAGTTACCCAGATATTTCAGATATGTTATTTTAGAGGCAAAAAGACAAATGGGTTCAGTAAAGATCTAAGTTGATCTTTGTCAGGGAAAATACTGGCCTAGGACATGGCTACCTACTATAACCTGTTTTTAGTTAAAGTTTAATTTCAGACTCTCCTTTATGGTTACTCTAGGTCTCTGATTTTGCAAACCGCCATGTAGGCCTTCCCTGAGCTTGTCAGGTTAGCACGTGGCCTTTTTTGTCCACACACACCCCTTTTGGTCATAAATCAATCCAAAGGATGCATGGATGACCAACCTTTGGTTGGATAATGGAATACCCTGGTGCTAGGAAGGCTCATTCCTAGGATGTCTCAGTGTCAGCATGTCTTGCTGAACAGGTGGACCACTGAGGATGGGAGCCAGTCATATCCTTTATGTCTTTGTTAAAAGTATTTTGGGTCATTTTTAATTTTTGAGCCACAATGATCTGAGTCTTTTTGCTGTTTGTCAAGTTTCGTTTTTTTGCATCTAGAATAACATTTACATACCAGGAATAAAATAACAATAATAAACCAGTAATATTGATTAGGAACAGAAAATGTCTTAGATAAAGAAAGATCTGAGGGGAAACAAGTATCTGCTATTGTCCAGAAGTCCCAATTTTTCTTCTGGGCAGTTAATTTTACCCATTCCTATATCTAGATAATATTTATCTAAAATATTCATCTAGATTAGATTTCTATATTATTCTACCAGAGCAATTACTAGGAAATTGTTCTTGGAGAGGTTTGTGCATATTAGGGTTTTATTACATAGGATTATGTGTTATTTTAGTGCTTCCTGTGTCTCTTGAATTATATTTGGTCAACATAATGGATGCAGGAGGTGACACAGAGATAAGTCTGATGAGAATTTGGAAGAACAGTGTAGGCCGGAGCTGTGGTCATTAAGAAAGGCCTCACAGAGAAGATGGGGTTCTGATATTGATTCTTTTTACTTTAAATGGACCTTAAAGAATGGGTAAAAGTAGGACAGGTAAGGAGAGGAGAGAGAGGGTACTTTACATACAGTATCTCATTGTCTCATGCCCTACAGAGTATTTGAATCTTCCCTTTACTAATAAAGGAAACCAAGTTCATAGAGGTTATGTCCCAAGGAGTCACGATACCACTGGCAGATGAAGACGTTAGAATTTAATACAGGTTTCTACAAATTCAAACTCTTTCACAGCCTGTGGGTGCCAGGGTAAGAAATTTGGGTTTTATTTTAAAAGTGATGGGAAGCCATTGTGCAGTGACAAGATCTGATTACAGATACAGGTCACTTTGTGGAAAATGGATTCGCATCAGGGAAGCCCGGTTAGGGAGGAAACTGCAGTAGCACCGACAAGAGACTAAATAATCCCAAACAATGAAGTGATGTTTTCGGAATAGTTCATACTTTTATCTGAGCTTAGATGGGCCTAACGTTCTGAGAATTCCACCTCACATAAAAGGAAGAAGTGTCATGATCCAATCCATGGAAGACCTGGAAAACTCTACAGCTGTCTTGATCTTGCCTGTTTTAACATTTTCTAATACCCAATGAATGCTGAGAACAGAGAGTGTGACCTTTTCCAGGTGACCCAGAGCTTCCCTCCCTTTCTTGGGAGCAGATGAGTAGGGGAGAGGGATAGCAATCAAAGGCTTTCATTTCGAAACTCTTTTCAAATCAGGATTGAACAGTATGACTCAACCAAGTGTATTGTCTAGTCATTAAGATAGATTGCAGAATAATTAAGCGCTAACAGGGTGGCCACAAGGTCAACCCTGATGAAATTAGGTAGATCAAGTGCCATCAACAACTTCATAGTTTATTTAAAACGACTCCTGTGAATGCCTTCTCTAAAGGTGCATTCACTGCAAGGGAAATCACAAAACTTCCCCACAAAAGGTAGCTCGATGGCAGCTGCTGAGCATGGCCCAGAGCTCTCCCCAAAAGCAACCCTGGCCAGTGCCATCAGGCTGCCTGCCTAACAGTGAATGCAAATTTCAAAATATTTTTCTTCCTCTTTAACAGAAATAATATAAATGGAACCACTTTAAAATGAAGCTGGAGCCCTAACCAGTTTGACTCAGTGGATAGAGCGTCGGCCTGTGGACCAAAGGGTCCCATGTTCGATTCCGGTCAAGGGCACAAACCTTGGTTGCAAGCTCCTTCCTACCTGGGCCCTCGTTGGGGCTCATGCAGGAGGTAATCAATCAATGTGTTTCTCTCACATCGATGTTTCTCTCTATCTTTCCCTCTCTCTGCTACACTCCCTAAAAAATCAATGGAAAAATATCCTCTGGTGAGGATTAACAAATTTTAAAAAAAATAGGTAAAAATAAGTAAAATGGCCAGGATCGGTTTTGCTCAATGGACAGAGTGTCGGCTTGGGGACTGAAAGGTCCTGGGTTCAATTCTGGTCAAGAGCATGTACCTTGGTTGCGGGCACATCCCCGGTGGGGAGTGTGCAAGAGGCAGCTGATAGATGACTCTCTCTCATCGATGTTTCTAACTCTCTGTCTCTCTCTCTTCCTCTCTCTACAAAATCAATAAAATAAAATAAATAAAAATAAATAAAATGGAGCTGGAGCTGCCATACCAGCAGAACTGCTTTGTATGTCTTATGCTCAAACCTTAGAATGTTCAAAACAGGACAAAATAACCTTTGGACTAAGCCTAAAGCAACATTGCTTCTCAAAACACTGTTTGCAAAGATAACAAGAAAGCAGTTGCTATGACTATTGGACTAAAAATTCAAAACATTGTTTAGAATTAATATCACTATGTTACCTGCACCAATGAAAATGCCTTCCTTCTGTTGATGTAATAGTTCCCATTCTCACAAATGCCTTTGTCTCCTAATTAGAGTATTATTTGAGCTTCTGCTTGAATTAATGTTTCCCAAATAGTTATCCTTTTTTATCTCAATAAATGCATGTTGCCTGTCGTTTTCCAAGGTCTTTTATTTTTAGGTTAACACTCTCCATTCCTTAAAAAAGACATGCCCTTGCCCGGCCCATATGACTCAGTGGTTGAGTGTCAATAGATGAACAAGGAGGTCACGGTTCAATAACTGGTCAGAGCACATGCTCGGGTTGCAGGCTCCATCCCCAGTGTGGAGTGTGCAAGAGGGAAACCAATCAATGATTCTCTCTCATCACTGATGTTTCTCTCTTTTTCTTCCTCTCCCTTCCTCTATCTAAAATAAATAAAAACATATTTTTAAAAAAAACACACCCTTCTAAAGACATTTAAGTATCCTATCTAATAAAAGAGTGATATGCAAATTGACCATCATTCCAACACACAAGTTGGCCACCACAAGATGGCCGGCAGGGGAGGGTAGTTGGGGGTTACCAAGCCAGCAGGGGAGGGCAGTTAGAGGCAATCAGTCCAGCAGGGGAGCAGTTAGGTGTCTATCAGGTTGGCAGGCAGAAACAGTTAGGGCAATCAGGCAGGCAAACAGGCAGGCAGGTGAGCAGTTGGGAGCCTGTAGTCCTGGATTGTGAAAGGGAT